AGTGCTGGAGACTCGCAGCCTGCAACAAAAGACACGCTGAAAATGCTGCTTTTCTACTTTACTGAACCGCTTGGTTTGCAGTCACTTTTAATTTAAGTTCAGACAGCGCTGGATGCTTAATTAAAAAAAAAAAAGTAAAAAAAAAAAAGGTGCTTTTGGTAGACGAGGGTGTAATGCCCAAGCTCTGCTGCAGTTACAACATGTACATGTTTGAGGATTATGTTATATACAAGAGAAATTATTGGTTTTTACCTCCTCTTTAAATATAGTTCAAATTATGGAATATTTAGTGGAGCGGAATAAGCTGTTGCCTGCCAGCTTTTTCATACCAGTGGTTACCAGATGTGTCTGTGTGTAGAACCTCACCATCTGCTCCAAAGTGGAATTTGGGGCTAGTCTAGGTATGTGGATGTGTCTTTTTCCTTGGGTATCTCTGGAAAACTTCAAAGTGTCTGTTTTGAGGTGAGGGGGAGGCACGGTTAGCTGTAATACTCAAGGAATTCCAGGGAATTTTACAGAAATGCAGCCGATTCCTCAGGGCAGCAGGGTTTGGAAGGGGAAGGAGCCTTAAGCAAAGAGGCAGTGCTGGTATTTTGTGCCGTTTCTCGGCCATTGCCAAGATCCCCTCGGAGTTTTCCTTGGCTGTCACCAGGCTGGGCTGCTGCTTCCTGCTTTGGATCGCGTCTTTCTGAAGAGAAACTCCGAAAGTTCCGAAATTTCCAAGACTGTTGCAGGGTGGAAGTCCCTCACGGGATTTTTTTGTAATTATTTCTGTAGATAAAATTTATTTAGGTAATTTCTTGTGCTGCTGGATTGGTGTAGAATTGCTGTGAGCTGTTACAGACAGAAGAGGAAGGAAACCTTTACCCACACACACCACATGGAGCTCCACCAAAGCCAGGAATTACCTGTCCTACTGAAACTCATTTGCTGGTGATTTTTGGGGATGGGGAAAACCGTATTTTGGTCAACAAACTACTTGTGGAAAATGTTCAGCCAGTGCTAATAACAGCCTTTGGTTGCTAATGAACTGGGACATACTGGGGGAGGAGGAAACGCTCCACGTGTCTCTGCCCACCCAGTATCTCATGGTTTATTTGTCACCACTGCCCTAAGCTCTGAAAACTGATTTTTCTTTTATATAGCCAGGTAAAATAAAAACACCAGCTGTGCCCTCGTTAATAAGGGAACAGGCGTTTCTTTCCCTCACCCCATGTAACCCCCACGCAGTGTCCTCCAGCATCTTGCCAAAAGCTTCCACTGCTTTTATAGAGTTATTTTCTTCTGCCACGAGGATCTGGTTCCCCTGTGCAGGATGCTGATAGTTCTTTGTGTTTGCTCTTTGGATCCCAGCTGGGGCTGCACCGGCTCCAAACCAGAATTAGGATTTGGGAGGGAAGAGCCTTTATGTCTGTGTGTCCATTCCTCTGGTAACTTTTCCTTTTCTGGTTGGCACTGAGCGTTTGATTTTATGTTCCAGCCCTCGCTCTGCTTTATGGCCAGCAGTGGGTGTATTGTTACAACACTCCTTGTGCCCAGGGGTCTTCAAAAGCGCTTTATTTAACTGTCCTGAGATGCCTTCACCTACCCCTGAAATGCAGCTACTTCAGCTGCAAAGCCTTGGCAGCTGCTCCAACAGCAGGAGCACGGCCAGGCCGCTGCTTTTAAGACATAAAGTAAGGAAAGGAGAAAAAAACCTAAATGCTGTATCCATTAAAAAACTGCAGGGAGAATGCAAATTGTCAGAATGCAATTACCTAAACTGGAGTTTGGCCAGCACTCCAGATTAACATTTCCTCCCGGAGCATGCCCTGGGATACCTGATGGCCAAAAGAAGTCGGAGTCTCAGCAGGATTAAAAATTGAGCTTTGCTGTGTAGTCCTCCAGTAGTGGCTGAGAGATGTAGATAATCTATTTAGCACCTACAGCACCCTGGGGCTAAAAAGTGGCTGAATCCTCTGAAATCCGATAGGAGTGTCTGAGGTTAAGAGTGCGGTCTGAAAACATTCCATGGGACTTGTAAAATCCACAGATGGTCCAGCCTTGGAACTGTCTCCTGTGAAAGGGAGGAGAAGGAGGTTAAAAAAGATGTACCAAAAGGATTGCAGCAGAGAAAAGATTAAAGCTAAGGGTCCTCCCCCCCTAGACTGTTGTTCCATGTTTTTCTGAGGTTTATTTCAGGCCATGGAAGCGTGCCACGGAAATGTGCATTAGCTGGCTCTGAAGCTCCTTAATACCTGCTTGAAATGACTCAAGGTAATTTAGAGCAGATTGGAGGCACCAGGATGCAAGACATGCTTAGGAGGAAAGTGGAATGAGGAGCAGGGAATTCGATGTGGGTAAGGAAAAGAGGGAAAGTGGGGACCTTTTCGAGCAGAGGAGGAGGACACAAAGGTGTGATGGCATTCACTGTGTTCAGTTGCAGCTGCCAACTCTAGAGCTACTTAAAATGCAATATAAGGAAGATTCCCAGCATGAAATAATACAGGGGTGTCTAAAGAAGTGGTTCTGTGAGCAGAATCCCTGAACAGTTTGGGTGGGAAGGGACCTTAAAGCTCATCCAGTTCCACCCCCTTCCATGGGCAGAGACACCTTCCACTATCCCAGGTTGCTCCAAGCCCCGTCCAACCTGGCCTTGGACACTTCCAGGGATGGGGCAACCACAGCTTTTCTGAGCAACCTGTGCCAGGGCCTCCCCACTCTCACAGGGAAGAATTTCTTCCTAAAGGTCGAACAGAAGGGGCAAGATCTGAACTGCAGCTGGTTTTCAGTTGGCTTTGCGTTGCACCTGCACCCTTCCGTACAGCAGGATTAGTATTTTTAGACCTCCAAATCCAACTAAAAGTCAGTAAAGAGTTTCAAAGTCTTTAACAGGACTGGCACTGTGCATTGAGTCTGTTTCTTTGGGAAAACAGGTTGAGAAGCTGGTAGGAGTAAAAAGCTTCTCCTTGCCAGGAAGGAATCAGGCAGCTTTCTCTGCAACTTATTTTCTTCTTTAAACTATTATTCATCATCGCTTATAGACTGTGTCCTTTAGGATCCACTTCTGATGTGGAAATTTTATGTGTGTTCTTGAATACTGTGTAGGAAAAAGCAAAAGCCCAGATAGCAGAAGAGGTGGGAAATGAGGGTATTTGAACATGGCAGTTTTTCTGTTGGGATATACAGAAGGCAGCGGAGCAGTGGATTTTTTGCTTGGTAGAAGGGAAGCTGAGAGCTCCCCTTTAATACTGATCTCCTATTAGAGTAAGAAGGGTAAGCACACAGAGAAGGGGATTAAATCTGAAGGTGTCTTCGTCAATATAATCTGTAATAGCCTTGATAGTGCTTTCTGAAAGAGAGACTTGCCAGACTGGCTGCTGATCCTGACAGCTTGTTTTCTTTAGGAAGCGGGGAGAAGAATTGGTCTCTTCAGTTGTGTCCTGAAGTGCACGTTCTCCGCTGGTATTTCTTCCTCAGTGAGGTCCTGAAGGGAATTATTGTCTCCCCGTTTCCTCCTGCAGAGCTGCAGGTAGATCTCAGGGTGGAATACAAAACCCTGAGCCCGAGTGGGAGCAGATGTGTGTGGTAGGACAACGTGGGTGTGTTCAATGATTCGGATGTTAATTTTGTCTTTATACTGGGCGATGCAGTCATAGGCTTTTTTTTTTTTTTTTTTTGGCCTGAAAAAATATGAAAGTATTGTTTCTTAGAGCCTTTGAACCTGCAGTACCTATTCCTGCCCTTCGGAACAGCACGTTCCCTGCAAGGGAAATTGGATTTTGTATTGTTTATCAAAGGGTAGACCCGTGCCCCCGCCTTACCCCTCGCTGCTTTTTCATCTCAGGATAAAAGTTAGTTTCTCCTTGCATTCTTTACACATGTGTAAATGACTGTTAAAAAGTGCAGAGAGATGGAAAAAGTGGGGGGTTTTCGCTGTTTTGAAGTGCTCATGTTTTATTAAAGCTGAGATTCCCAGAGCTTTGTGGCCAGAAATGCACCACCCTCTCTGCTCCTGGAGAGAAAACCTTGTTTCTTCCCGTGAAAAACTCTCTAATTCCCCCAAAGTTGTCAAGTTTGTGTGGTTTGGGGTGGGATTTGATTCCCATAGATACGAATGCCTTTCATGGAGCCCCTATAATATAAAATTAAAGCGCATAAACAGAGGATTGAATGTGTTTGACGTGGTTTTGTTGTGTGAAGATGCTGGCACCATTACTTGCTTTTTTTAAAATCCCCTTTATTTCACTGTAGCATTTTTTTTTTCTCTTTTGCTTCAGTCACCATCTGTTACATGTTATGTTTGGTACTTGTCGCTGATTTTTACATAGATGCTGTGACTTAACAATGTCTAACCAATGATAACATTTAACATACATATTTTAAGATACTTTGTTCAGAGTAAGAAGCATTTGTGCCCTTCACTCAAATCCTCCAGGTTGGATCTTGGTAGTATTTCGTAACAAACTCCAAGCCATTAGGGGTATTTTACCATCTGCAGATCAGCTTCCAACAAGCTCAAGGGGTATTTGGGGGACACACAGCGCTCTGTGGCCGGACCGAACTCCACGGGGGCACCCTCACGGGGGTTTTGTGGAACACACAGGGCTGCGTGGCCAGACTGAGCTCCATGGGAGCACCCTTATGGGGTTTTGAAGGACACACAGGGCTGCGTTGCCACAGGGCTGGGCTGTGGCCGCCCCTTCAAGGCGGCATCGAGCACTGACAACATGGCGGCTCCTCCCTGAGGGGTGGGGGGGTGTGAGGGACAGCGCGCCTTTTAGGCGGGAAAAGCGCCTCGGCGCGGCGCGCGTGCGCAGTAGCGGGAGCCGAGCCGGGGGAGCTTCGGCTCTTCTCGGTAGGTTCCGGAGGCGGGAGTCTCCCCGCCCCTCAGGCCTTCGGCATTCTCCGCCCCCGCTTCGGCAGTCTCCGCCCCTCCTTCGGTAATCTCCGCCCCCGCTTCGGCAACCTCCGCCCTCCTTTCGGGTATCTCCGCCCCCCCTTCGTTAAGTTCCGCCACCACTTCGGCAACTTCCGCCGGTTCGGTCGGAAATGGCCGAAGACGTGCGAGACCCAGCGGTTTAAGGGGAGAAGACCGGCCGGCTTCTCGGAACAAACCAACTGTGTCCGGCCCGGAGGGGGGGGAGCAGGGGAGGGCGGACGGAGCGGGAAGACAAGGCAGCGGCTATGGCTCCCCCCCCAGCCCCTCGCGGCTCCGCCGGGAGGGCGAAGTGAGGGCGCCGAGAGGTGAGGGCGGACCGTACCGCGGACGGGGAGCGGGGGAGGGAGGGGGGAGAGCGGTAACACCACCCCCCCCGACACCCCCCTCGGCGGCCCGTGGGGCCAGGTGGGTGCGGGAGTGGTACAGTCCAGGGGAAGCCCCCTGAGTCGGCCGGGGGGTGGGGGGGGCTCGACTGGGACGGCCCTGAGGGGCAGGAAGGGGTGGTGGGCTGTGAGGGGGTCTCTCAGGGTTGGGGGCACGGTGAGGGAGGTCCTTCAGGGCTGGGGGGGCTTTAAGGGGGATCCGTCAGGACGGGGGGGGCATGGTGGGGGGCGTTCCTGAAGGCCGGTAGGGGGCTTTGAGGGGGAACCCTCAGGGCTGGGGGGGGCTGTGATGGAGGTCCCTCATGGCTTAGGCGACTGTGAGGGGGGTCCCTTAGGGCTGAGGGGCTGTGAGGGAGTCTCACAGAGCGAGGGACACTGCAGGGGGAAAAAGGTCCCCACAAGGCTGGGGGGGGAGCCCCTCAGGGTTGGGGAGGCTGTGAGCGGGTCCCTCACAGCGTGAGGGGCGTTGTGGGGGTCCCTCAGAGCGAGGGATCTGCGTGCGAGAGGGTCCCCCCACAAGGCTGGCGGGGGCTGAGAGGCGTCGTGGGCGTCTCACAGAGCGAGGGACGCTGAGTGTGTGGGGGAGGATCCCCACAGGGATGGGGACCCTCATGGCAGGAGGGCCGTGATGGTCCCTGGTGCCCAGGAGCTGCTGATGGGCTCCAGCTTTCCTGCCTGCCCTCCTGCCTGCCCTCCCTCAAGGGTCCGGAGACCCCCTTGTCCTGCTTGCCCGTGGATCCCCAGTGCTTTGGGGGGGCTCTTGTGTCGCCCCAGTAGTGCAGCCCCTCAGTCCCTGACTCGTACTCCCTGCGGCTCTTGCTGGGGCTTTGCAAAGGACGAGGCTGTCGCCTCTCTGGGCTTCTCAGCACTGCTTGGTGTTGTGCTCCCGCGAGTTGTTTGCTGAAGTTGACGTTCGTGTTATTCTTTTTTTTTCCAGCTGTTTTCCCCCCACGTGAGGTCTCTTCTTGCTCAAAAAAACCCATCAGGGGCTTAACTCTACCAAAAATTTTACTAGTGTGGGGTTAATACGTTACTGCTGACAGTGTAACACCCCTGTTATGCTGGTCCAAACCCAAACAATTTGGAGGCTGGAGGAGCTGGATATGGTTCAGAGAGTATTTAGGATTCACAGAGATGCTGGAGAAGCACTTAGATATGCTGTTCTGTGTTTAAATCCAAACACTGAGAACCTCAGTGACCACTCTGTGACCTCTTGTTGCCTTTGCATGCACCTGATAAATCCTGTGTGTTGATATCAGGATACAATAACTTGCTTTTAAAATGTCTGGGTTTCTGTGCTGCAAGTCTCACACGTGTGTGAAGGAGATTAAATAACTTTGTTTCCTGACGGGGGTGTCACATGCAGGTGATTATCTTACAGATATTTCTGTCCTCGTGGAGGAATCTGTGATATCTGAGATAGTAACATCTCTGAAGGTGGGGTGTGTTTTGCACGGCTCGTATCAAGCACTGAGTAATGTTCAGCTCGTTTCTATGCAGAAATAGCATCAGAAATGAGCCACAGCCTGATAATGTGATGATGGGGAGAGAGATTTGTCTCCCTCTGACAAATCCCTTAACTTCATGTAGCATCTGAGAGCCCAGTTGTTACGTGCAGCGTCATCTGTACCCGCTCCTGGCTTTGGGATGCCTCTTCTTTTCCGTTTTTCATTCCAGAATGGGGAGTTTGCATGGGTTCAGCTCAGTGTTCAGGGATTCTGGAGCAGGGGTAATTATTGACTTGTCTTCCCTGAGCAAATTTTTCCAGCAGCCCAGCTGTGGTACAGACAGTTCTTGAACTCCTTGATGCCTTGTTTTCAGGAGGGAAGTCCAAAACAGTCCTCTGGAATTCTCTGATTTTTCACGTGGGGACTGTTAGCTCTCGTATTTGTTTACACGTGGGGATGGATTTTGGCAGTTGTCAAGTCAGAGCAAAAGCAGCAAATGCAGAGAACAGGAAAAACGTGATTGTTGAATTGCCTTCACTTAGGCTGTGTCTCGATGAGATGTGGCAAAATTGGAGGGTTGTTTTTGTGCTGCTCAGGTGGGATGGGAAATATCACCACCATCATCTTCCCTTGGATATTTGTAGTGTGGATCTCTGGGATTGTCCAGCTGATGAGTTGAACGTTGTTGATGTATTCCCAGATTTTGCTTGCCCCTCCTGAGCCTGCTTTTCATCACTTGAAATGCTTTTACATCTTGAAATGCCACGACACCTTAATCTTAAGTTTTTAGAGTTTTTAGGCTCTCTCCTTCTGGCTGTGTTTTGTACGTATTTGTTCTTTTTTTCCTTCCATTCTTCTCTTCAATGCCTGATTTTTTTCTCCTTGCTCTTTGACTCCCATCACCTCTCCTGTTTTCCCAGGGCATTCCTCCTGCTGCCCACAGCAATGATTTCACCAGGGTGGGAATACACCACATGTTACCTGTTTGATGCCAAGATCACAGCAGCCCATTGGGAATTGGCTCCTGGTCCGGAGGCAATTTTTCTGCTCTGGAAACCCCCCAAAAACACTGAACTGGAAGGGACCTCGTGGTTACTGGCTCCTGTTTCCTGGGCAGCAGATGGGTTTTCCCAGTGCTCACTGTCTCATTTCTTTACCTGTTTTCTGTGCTAAACCCCCCTTTTTTTGTCAGGAACAGACATTATGAAGCAGTTCCTAACTCTGGCATTTTAACTCAGGATGGCATTTTTGATGTTACTCTTAACAAGCAAAACCCAGAGTGGGGTTCCTATGTCTTAACCACCCAACAAGCGAAATATTTGAGCTTTTTGTTTGTTTTCTTGTGAAAAAGGCAAGTGATACCCATCTTTTCAGTCCAGAGTGGCCTATCTCTGCAAGTGTGTGGCTTGGCGGTGGGGAAAAGCATTCCCATGGGATTTGGGGATGCAGCTGGGGCTGCCAGTTGTCTCCTCCAACCCGTGCTGACACAGGCTGTGCTTGCTGGGCTAAATCAAACACAAGTATAGTGTGAATATTCCTGCAGTTCCGTGGCTGCAGTTCAGACACATCCTCGAAAGCAGAGTTTTCTTCTTGGAGAGCACTTGGAAGTGCTGCTCCCTGGGGCTTGTGGTGGTTGAGTTTGGCTCCTGCAGCTTGGCCGGGCTGTTCGTCTCGTGCAGATGATGGTGGTGGATGTTGCCTGAGAAGAGGTGCAAGGCCAGTTTGAGGTTTTGGGGGTCGGTTGGGAAGGGTGAAGGCAGGAGGCTGTGCAGCTCCGTGGCTTGCAGGGAATCAATCCCTGGGCTGCCTGGGCATAGGAAGCCTCGGGCACCGGCCCCCCCAGGTAAATTGGTGGTACTACAGCACTTGCAGGGCCAGGTTTGAAGTGCAAATTGAAATCCTTTGTGAAGGATTGACTTTTTGTGAAGTCATTGCTGTCTGTTAATTGATGCCTGTTACCGGCAAGAGCTGTTTAGAGGTCTGACTAATCCATCTCAGATGAAGGAGGGCAGAGTTAGGTTGGATGTTGGGAAGGAATTGTTGGCTGGGAGGGTGGGGAGGCCCTGGCACAGGTTGTCCAGAGGAGCTGTGGCTGCCCCATCCCTGGAAGTGCTCAAGGCCAGGCTGGATGGGGCTTGGAGCAGCCTGGGCTAGTGGAAGGTGTCCCTGCCCGTGGCAGATGGTGGGAATGGATAATCTTTAAGGTCCCTTGCAACCCAAACCATCCTGGAATTCTGGGATCTCTCCCAGTAAATGGACATCAGTTTCTCAGGACTCTGTTGACATAACCAATAGCACCACAAAGTGACCCGCCCCTCATTGATAGAATCGAGTGAAATACAGAAAATTGAGATTTATAAAGCAATCAGATCAATCCTTCATGTTTTTTGGGTGGGATGAAACCCCAGCACTCCGAACCAACAGATTATCTGTGGCCACTAATGGATGTAAAGGACTTGGGTTTTTTTAAGACAGGTGTTTTAATGAGTCTTATAATTTCTTAGTTCTTACAATCAGTTTCTCAAATGGTTGTGATCTTGTTGCCTGCAGTTGGGGGTGTGTGTTTTCTCTACCTACCTCTGCCTTCCCCCCTCCCCGTGAATTTTGAAAATGTGTCACTTTTCTAATGCAAATGGCTACCCAAGAATAGTATCAGAACATGGCATTAACCCACGAACTCCTAAGAAACCCTCTCAAGTTTCTTCTAATAGAAAATCTTAATAACATTTCCCAGTGCACAAATAACCTTTTTATTCCCTTATTTTGCACGGTGTCCAGCTGGTCATTCCTTTCCCCGTCAGTCTCATAAAATGCTTTCTTTTATGATTCAAAGTACTTCCAGGTATCTTCTCATCTGACTTTCATCTCAGGGACAGTGACAGTGCAGGGAGCCTGAGGTCTGTTGTTGTTCCTGCTGTGTTTTGTGTTTGCCTGAAGTGTGTATTCCAGCATCTGACCCTGTGGGATGATGAGCTGTTTGGTGCTGCCCCTCAGTGTGACCCAGTCATCTCAGATCTGTGCCGGAGCACTGGTCATCTGGGGATTCATTTGGAAGGGAATTTGAATTTATTTGAAAGCCAAAATGCCAAGGAGCAGGAAATCCTTTGCTCTGCGCACGTGTCGCCTTCCTTAAGGAACGTTTCTTGACAGGTTGAGTAAATCCAGTCAAACAGATGATAAATTCAAGTCTGGACACTTAATGTAGGAATTGACTTCTCTGCATCCAACATCCTCCGTTCCGTTGTCCCACCAACACCTCTCCGTTTCCAACGTGAAGAGAAGCTTTTCTTTTCCCCATCCCATCCATTTGCATCCCACCTTCTGGGCCCGGATTGGAGTGTGGTGGAATTCAGCACGTCACTGCACGTGGGAAAAGACTCCTTTTATCTTCCCCACCCGTGACTCAAAGCCCCCACATCGTATGTAAGGCAGGGCTGGGATCTGTGCACGTCTTTTAGCGTTTCTATTCCGGGC